TTTACCACAACAGTAGAAGTGATTTTTTTTTTTTTTTTTTAAAAGTGAAATTCTATGTTTTGACCAGTTTTTTGTGTACATTTTCCATGGGCACCTCCATTACGTTTTGTTGATAGAACAACAAAGGTAGGTAAGTGTAAGGTGATAATTCCACTTGCATTGGCAACATTTTGTGGATACCCCACCATCACACACAGAGCTTTTTGGACATTAATGGGCATCAATAAGTTCACAATTGTCTGAAATGTCCTTGTATGCTTTAGCATTAACAGTACCATTTGAATAGTAATACCTCAATTCAGTCATTTGAAGGGTGTCCACATACTTTTGGCCATCTAGGCTACTTTCCTGATTGCATTCCAGAGCTTGGACCCTTTTGGCTTCCTTGCTGTATTCCTGGCACATTTTTAGACCCAAAGTGCCACCTGCGGTGTTCACATTGAACTATTTAATCTCACCGGTGTCTGGTGGGCTTTTAACAATACAGAGTGTCTGTGAAGGTTCTCATTAATCCAGGTCATGGTATATCATGACCTGAATTGAGAAAGCTGGTTGGATGACCAGTGAAACGTCTTCTAGAAAAAAAAAATACAGCAAGTCCAGTTGCCTTGACTTATTTTTTTACAGATAATGGGTGGTACTCGGGATCCAGAAGTGTGTCAGGACTGGGAGCGCTGCAAAGATGTGAATTTTCAAAATGCCTAAACACTTGAATGTTGCCAGGGAGATGAGTCCTTTATACCTTTTGCATAAAGTTCACAAAGATCTTTGCAAAAAGTTTCCCATTGTTCTCCTTTTAAAGGTCAAGGCTTTGTATGAATATACCCCATATGCTTATGGGAATCCTTGCCCTTTTATCTTTCACTTTAGGTGACAAACAGGCAAGTGACACATTGCTGAGAAGTTCTCTCACTGTTTGCATGACTGCTGAGCAAGCAAATAGGACATGTACTACTTTCATACATCATTTCTTGGCCACAAGGACAGAACACTTGCTAGATGGCATGACAGGTATTCTCTAGGTACGGCAAGCACTATTCTCTCTCTCAGAAGTAAACTCTGCTGTTCGCTGCAAAAATGCCTAAGAATCTTATTTACTTAGCTCAGCAAATAATAAATGCCCCGAAGGACTGTATTTAAGTCCTTATTTTGTTTTGCTGGTGTGTGTGGTGTCCCCTCATCCCCATGCTTTCTTCCGCCCCCCACGGACGTCCTCTGCAAGTCTCGAATCTTGCCCTGCATTAGTAGATTTATTTAAAAACTGCAGCAAATGCAGTGGTCATTGGCGCTAAATTTTTAACTAGATTATTGAAAGCTGTCGTTTGTTGTATTTTTACATGACATCAATACCCTATGCACTATGTTACTGAATAAAATGAATAGCTATTAACTGAGGTACTATGGAGCTGACCTTCCATGGAGAACAAAATATATTGCTGAACATGCGTTGCAGTAGATTAGTGGTTCCCAAACTAGGGTACATGCCAGGATGTTTAGGTGCATAAAAAACAAACATTTAATAATGGCAGAAAAACGCAGTGGCACAGTCATATGTTTTCAAATAGTCGGGGGAACAGTTGTCTGGTTATGGGGGATGCAGCAGTTGAGGAGTGGGCACTCCTACATGCTATTCATCCAATGAGATGGATAGCATGTAGAAAGTGGGACGTGTGCGGAACTATGCAGGTGCTGTTACCCAAGGCCTGCTTGGGAGTCTTGGACCCAATGCCACTGCACCAGAATTGTCCTGTTGCACCGACTGCCAGTTTACTTGGGTGCCTCATTTACATGAGACCCGCTCCACTCTGCAGTGTTGATCCCTCCCGCTACATTCTCCTCGGAGCACCAAAAGTGCTACTGTGACCTTCACTAAACTGCAACATAAAGGTAAGTCACCAGACTGTTCCTGTGCTCCATCAGCATCCTCTAAAACCCTAGAGGAGCCCCAGATGCAGAGAATCTAATGTCAAAGGCCACACCCCAAACAGGCCCCCGAGATAACACTGATAAAAAGAAAAAACACCTAAGGGACCAACCACCCTCTTAAACATTTTCACTAAAATGACCTTTCCTTGCCAAGTTATCATTGTGAGTTGTCTGGCCACTTGCTGTGCATAACTAGTCATGTAACCTGAGCTATGCTGGCTTCTGCCCTGCAGCGCAACATGTTTGATCCTAGACACAGTGTGGCTAGTGTAGGTTCTTCCCAGTACGGTGGTTTACTCAGTACGGTGGTTTACTGTGGAAGGGGTTAACACTGAGCGATTGAGCGCTGACATATTTTGCTTGGAGTGTTGCACACACTTCTAGCTCCCTCCATTCGGTGTTGAGGGTGTAACTTTCTGCTGCTGCTTAATTTACAAGTGACATTTAGAGGGTTATTCACAAAGGGTGAAAAGTTTAGAAGACAGGAGATAAATGTAAGGTAATGCACCTTGGAGTTAAAAATAGGCAAATGGACTATACACTTACGGGTGTGCCACTAGGGAAGTCGGAAACGGAGAAGGATTTGGGGGTCATTATAGACCGCAGATTGAAGAACAGCTCGCAGTGCCAGGCTGCTGTAAACAAAGCAAGCAGAGTCCTGTCATGCATCAAGGGAATGTCTTGCAGGGACAAGTCTATAATTTTGCCACTTTACAGATCACTGGTTCGGCCACATCTGGAGTATGCGGTCCACTTTTGGTCACCGATACTCAGAAAAGATGTTCTTGAGCTGGAAAAAGTCCAGAAGAGGGCAACCAAACTCGTTAAGGGGTTCGAGGACCTGAACTATGAAACAAGGTTGTTAAAATGAAATATGTTCTCTTTGGAGGTGAGGAGATTAAGGGGGGACTTGATTTTTCTGTATAAACTATTCAAGGGCGACAGCAACATTATTAACAAACTGTTTACGGTCAGCTCCGTAACAAAGACCAGAGGGCACAACCAAAAATTGGTGCAAAAGAAATTTCAACACACAGGGCGCAAGGGGTTCTTCACAGTTAAAGCGGTTAAGGTCTGGAACTCGCTGCCGCAGGAAGTGATTTCAGCTAAGAGTGTGGAATCATTCAAGAAACTCCTGGACGAGTACCTCGGAGACCATAATATACAGGGGTACAGGTGCTGCTAAGAGCAAAATCACACCTGGACTCATACACAAGCACACACCAGCTCAAACAGAAATGCACACACACAATAGGTTGGACTTGATGGACTTATGTCTTTATTCAACCTCAAATACTATGTAACATAGCTGATTTGGAAAATGTCTCCAATTCAGCTCACTTTCCAGTTTAGCTATGTTGTCCTAGATCAGTGGTTCTCAACCTGTGTGACCTTTAGGACCCACATTTGTCCCATTAAGTCGCGACCCCAAGTCCCACTGCAATAAAACACATGGTAGGTGCGATTGTGTGGTACAGTGCGTTAATCGCACGGCACTGTGCGATTAATGCACTATACTAGTGTGAACGGGCCCTCAAAAACACTGACAGACATACACCACAGACGCAATCTCACACACTCACAGACATTCTCTCACATGCACACACACACACACATTTCAAAAATGTTTTAATTAATTTTTTTTTTGAAGGCCCACCCAGTCTCCCTACCTGTAATGGAGTGGATCCTCGGCCTGGGGTCCAGTATGGGCTGCTGTGCTGTGACAGAGCTCCATCCATATGTGCATTGGTTGTACAGCTCCCTTGCGTGCCCTGTAGAGGTGCAGGGAGCCAGAATGTGATGTCACTATGGCACCTCTATAGGACACGTGAGGGAGCTGTAAGCAATGCATGTATGAATGGAGTTCTCTCATGGCTATAGCCCCATCCCACTCCACCTCAAGCTGACACTCTGCTCAGGGCAGCATATTTTGAATGGCTGCCTGGCACGAGAACTCGCAGTCCTGCGCTAGGGGGAGGAAGAGGAGTCT